GGGGGGGGAAAGAAAAAACTTAGGAGAGCGCTTGTGCGCATGCGCGGGGGGTGGTCGGTGTATTCTACGCAGCAGTGGTAGCCTCAGGGGTGCAGGGAATCTGAGTGGGGTGCTTTAGCTTGTAGGGCAGCTCGTGCCCCTCTGAACCAGGGTGCCCCCTGTTCTCCCCTCTGCCTGCTGTTGCCATAGAAAAAGAACCAGCCTTTGCTCCAGTTCCCTTCTAGCCAACCTTCTGCCCATAACCCCAGTAGCTAGAAACACCCAAGCTGGGATGCCTGGGAAACACCTCGACCCTGGGCACTGGTGCTGCACAGAGCAAACCAACCAACTGGAGCCCAAAGAAAAGCAAAGACCATCCACCTCCCCGAATGGCGGTAAACTCAGTACACTCCAGAGTTGAAAATATCTGCATGCATAACGGGACAGGGACCTGGTCCCACTGATACGCTGAGCCTAGCCCCTGGTTTTCATCATTTCCCCGCGCTTTCCAAACCATTGCAGGTTGAAATTGCCCAGAGCTGCTCCCGGTGCGGCAGCAAATTCCTCAGGGGAGTTCATGGCTTCACGCTTCTGCATGAGATGGATCCACATCCCATTCTTCCCTGTGGTAGTTCCTGTTTGTCTGACTTATGCGTGGGATGAACTGCCAGCATCTACCAGAGCCCGTGTTGCCTCTCTTTTTCAGCCGTAGACCTCAAAGCACTTGGCAAAGGGACTCAGTATCATTATCCCCATTTTAGAGAAGGGGGCCTGGCAGTGAAGTGAATTCCCCATTTCAGCCAGCAGGCCTGCAACAGTTTCCTATGTCCTGGTCCAGTGCTATGTCCCTGTAACAGAATGCATGGCTCAGGGGTGAGAGCCCAGCTGCAGGGAGCTGGAGGATTATAACTTGCTTGCCTAGGAGCACTGGACCAGCTGATGGGGATGACTGGGCCAGGCTAGAGGAGGAATAAGCCACTACAGTTCCCTAGATGAGGTTGTCTCCCTCATGATACTTCACTTCAAATCTCATAATAGTTGGTAATTTTCTTGAAGCTCGAGACTCTACATGTGTATGGTAATATGAGATTCCCATCCCTTTCATTTATTTATTTGTAAGTTTGTTTCTAACCATTATGACTGTGGGGAAAAGTTTGAAAGCTTGCCGTATGCAAGCACCCCAGGCTCAGAAACTAAATGGCAAAGAAAAAGATCCAACATACATGAGGTTTGTAAAAATAAATTTACAAATTGACTTTCTGTCGTCAATGCCAAGAATAAATTGTTGAGAATACTTTTTTTCTTGTGGTGTATATGGGGAAGACGGTTGGGGAGTATCAATAAACTTGTTTTAAGCTGGTTAGTACTAAATATATTAATGTCCAAAGGGCTAAGAAAGGATTGGGGCCTGTCACGGCGGGGTCCTCGCGGAGGGCCGTGTGCTCCTTAAGGTCCCTCGCTCCGTGTCAGGCCGGCCCAAGGCACCCTCTAATTCTCGCC